TATTTTTTTTAGTGATGTCTTTGCCTGGCTTTGGTATCAGTGTTATACTGGCTTTGTAGAACGAATTCAGAAGTATTCCTTCCTTTTCTATGGTTTGGAATAATTTGAGTAGCATTGGTGTCAACTCTTCTCTGAATGTTTGGTAGAATTCTCCAGTGAAGCCGTCTGGTCTAGGCCTTTTTGTTGTTGTTGGGAGTTTTTTAATGACCTCTTTAATTTCTTCTTTTGTCAAGGGGTTGTTCAGATTTTCTACCTCAGTTTGTGTTAGTTTGGGTAGGGAGTGTGTTTATACAAATTTGCCCATCTCCTCTAGGTTCTCAAATTTGTTGGAGTGTAATTTTTCGTAATACCATGTCATGATCTTTTTTATTTCAGTTGGTTCTGTTGTAACGTCACCCATCTCATTTCTTATTTGAGTTATTTGCATCTTCTCCTTATTTTCTTTTGTCAGTTTGGCCAGTGGTTTACGGATTTTGTTTATCTTTTAAAGAACCAACTTCTAGTCTTGTTGATTCTTTTGATTGATTTCTGTTTTCTAATTCATTTCTTTCTGCTAAAATCTTTATTTCCTTTCTTCTTGAGGCTGTGGGCTTCCTTTGCTGTTCTTTTTCTACTTGTTCGAGTGGTAGGATTAAGGTATTGATTGTGGCCCTTTCTTCTTTTTTGATGTGTGTATTTATTGCTACAAATCAACCTCTGAGCATTGCTTTTGCTGTATCCCAAAGGTTTGGGTATATTGTGATTTCATTCTGAGAATTTTTTTATTTCTTTTTTAATATCATCTATTACCCAGTGGGTTTTAAGCAAGGTGTTATTTTTCATGTATTTGACTTTTTCTTTCCTTTTTCTTCCTGTTATTGATTTCTAATTATACAGTGTTGTGATCTGAGAAGATGCTTTGCATACTTTCCATATTTTTTAATTTATTGAGGCTTTCTTTGTGGCATAGAAAATATGGTCTGTTCTGGAGGATGATCCATGTACACTGGGGAAGAATGTGTACTGTGCTGCTGTTGGGTGGAGTGTTCTGTATATGTCCATGAGATCAAGTTGCTTGATTGTGATGTTTACGTCTTCTGTATCTTTGTTGAGTTTCTTTCTAGTTGTTCTGTCCTTCCTCAAAAGTGGTGTGTTAAAGTCTCCTGCTATTATTGTGGAATTGTCTATTTCTCTTTTCACTTTTGTTAGAGTTTATGTATTTTGGAACTCTGTTGCTGGGTGTGTAAATATTTATTATGGTTATGTTCTCTTGGTGGATTGACCCTTTAATCATTATATAGTGCCCTTCCTTGTCTCTTATGTTGGGTTTTGCTTTAAAGTCTATTTTATCAGAAATTATTATTGCCACTCCTGTTCTTTTTTGTTACTGTTTGCTTCATATATATTTTTCCATCCTTTGATTTTAAGCTTATTTTTATCTTTGTGTCTAAGATGTGTCTCTTGTAGGCAACATATTGATGGGTCATGTTTTTTTATCCATTCTGTTACTGTCTCTTGACTGGTGCATTTAACACATTAAGATTCAGTGTGATTATTGATAGGTATGAATTTACTGCTATCATTTTGGTGTACTTTTTTTGTGTGTGTAGTGTTGACTGTCTCTTTGTTCCGCTTACTCTTCTGTACTGCATTCTTTTTGTTTATGGATTTTCTTTCATTTCCTTCATTGTTGTTGATTTTGTGTTTGCTGAGTCTTTATGGTTTCCTTCTTTTTTATTTCAGTGAGTAGGTTTATTAATTTTCTTTATGGTTACCCTGAAATTTACCTTTATCTTCCTAAGTTTAAAACAGTCTGTTACATCTTGATATCGCCTTGACTTCCTCTCCCTATGGAAGTTCTATAGCTACACCATTTATTCTCCCTTTTTATGTTGAAGTTGTCGTCATTTACAGATTGATATCTCTGGTTCCCTGTTTTCAGTCTGGTAGCTTTATTTTATTTTTAAGAATTCTTTGTTTTGCTTGGTATCTGGGTAATATTGTCATGTGTCTTAATCTCAGGTTGTTGTCTGATGTTGTTGGTTCTCTGTCTGAATGACTCCCTTTAATGTTTCTTGTAAGATTGATCTAGTTTTTACAAATTCCTTAATTTCTGTTTATATGGAAATGTCCTAGTTTCACCATCATATTTGAGAGACAATTTTTCTAGATATATGATTCTTGCTTGGCTGTTTTCTTTCTTTCAGGGTTTTATATAGTCATCCCATTGCCTTCTTGTCAACATGGTTTCGGCTGAGAAATCAGATCTTAGTCTTATTGGTTCCCCTTTGTAGGTGACAATTCGTTTTTCTTGAGCTGCTGTCAAGATTCTTTCTTTAACTTTGGTTTTGGAAATTTTGATTATGGTATGTCTTGGTGACTTTCTTTTGGAGTCTGTCCTGTATGTATGGGGTTTTTTGAGTTTCTTGGATGGATATCTTCTCATTTTTCATGTTAGGGAAATTTTCTGCCAGCAAATCTTCAAAAATTTTCTTTTTTTTTTTTTTTTTTGGTCTCTTCCTGTTCTGGAATTCTTGTCACACATAAATTGTTCCTGTTGATAGTGCTCCTTATAACTTTTAGACTTTCTTCATTTTTCTTCATTATTTTTTCTGAATGTTCCTCAAACAAATTAGTAGCAAGAGATTTGTCCTCTATTTTGCTGATTTTGTCTTCCATTGATTCAGTTCTACTTCTGTGTCCTTACATTGAGTTATCTATTTCTGAGATTTTATTGTTAATCTTCTGGATTTCTAGTTGCTGCTTTTGTATGGTTTCTAAATGTCTATTTTGCCATTTTGTTTTTGTATTGTTTTCCTGAATTCTTCTAGAGTTTTGTCTATGTTTTCCTTGATCTCTTGGAGGACCCTATATATAAGTCTTGAATTCCTTATCAGGTAGTTTCATTAACATTTCTTTCTCAGGAAGGTTTTCTGTCCCTTTATTTTGGTCACTTTGGTTGAGCCAGCTTGTGCTGCTGCTTTATGTAATTTGATAGTCTGTTGTCTCCGAGGCACTAAGGTATTATTATATTTATTTATTGTATATTTGTTTGCTTAATCCTGATTTCTTGTTTTGTTTTGTTTTGATGTTTATGAGTGGGCAGGGTGAGTGTGCTACTCTGGTCACTAGTTTGGCAGCACTGAGGCACTCACTACCTGTCTCCAGGTGGGTGGGTCAGTGGCTTGGAGTGTAAGCCCGTCTCTATTCACTGGACGTGCAGGGCAGCTGACGGCAGGCTGGGTGGGTGTTGACCATCATCTGTCATTGATCCAGTGGCACAGGAGCAGGTGGTTGTACTCACCAAGTGGATGACGGAGCAGGTGTGGTGGGTGTGGCAGGCAAGTGGGAGGCACAGTTGTCACTGCTAGCCAAGCGGGGGAGTGTATGGCAGGCATGTGTGCATGTGTGTGTTCATGCGGTTGCTGCCACTCGCTGGGTGGGGGGTTGAGTGGTGGGTGTGCACACATGCAGGTTCTAAGTAGCTGCCACTTGCTGCGTCTGGGGCGGGTGGGTGGCAGCTGAGTGCACTTCTGGTTGCACGATCGCCACTGCTCACTGATTGGGGGGAGGAGTTATTGGTGATCGGATACTAGCAGAGTCACCGCTGCTCGCCAGCTGGGGGGGAGAGTGGGTGGTAGGTGGGTGTGTGCGTAGCCACTGCTGCTCCCCGAGTCGGGGATGTGGGAGGTGGGTGAGTGCATGGGAGCACACTTATTACCACTCTTTGGGTGGTGGGGTGGCAGACGGGTCTACGTTAGGAGAAGAAGAGGCTTGTATTATGGTCTCTGGTCGGGCAGGGTACAACATTCCCAATCAGGAGGGTGGGGGGAGGGGAAGTATGCCCCTTCTTCCAGCAGACATGGATGTCTGTTCATGTTCACTGCAGCCAGCAGTTGGGGCCTGCCCTTGACCAAGTGCAAGGTGGCGGGGGGGCAGCCCAGGATCTGGTAGGATGAGGGAATTCCCAATATGCCACTGTTCCACTGCCTCATGCGCATCACGCACCCCAGAGGTCAGGAATGGCTGCTCATAAGCATACCTGACTCTGGATCCTGGCTCCCCCCCTGCTCTGTGGATGGCAAGATCCCTGGAATTCTCCTCGTCCTTTCTGTGTTTTCCTTCCTTAGATTCAGATGATGATCTGCTCAGTTTTCTTTTTTCTGCGTGTGTTTATATAGTTTCTCTGTCTCTTATGGACATGCTGTGAAGTGATCTTCCTGTGTTCCTCACTCAGGGTCACTGCCAGCTTTGTCTCAGGATAGCCACATTGAGCCAGGATGGCTGGCAGAGCCCCTCAGCTCCATTTCATTCCTCTTTTGCTGAGTTTGTTCTTTTTTTTTTTTTTTCCAGTTGGTGTTCAATTTTTTATCCTTTCTTCTTGATGTTCAGGGTTCAAGGATTGCTATCTGCATCTGTTTCACTTGGTTTCTCAGGTCTTTGCTGTACAGGGACGGTATGATGCTTCTCACTAGTCCACCATCTTCTGGATCTAGGTCTGGTTTTATCAACAGTGAAACTATTGACATTTTGGACTAGATAAGTCTTTGTTGGGGGAGGGAGAGCTGTCCTGTTTTTGTGGGTATTTGGCAACATCTCTGGCTTCGACTCATTGTTTAGAAAGAAATAAAAAGAGTCCCAAATAAGGCAGATTTGAGGAAATGTTTATAAGATCAAGAAAGTCTCATTTGGGGATAAAAATTCCTTATCCAGAAAATAAATGCAATGGTATACTAGCAATCTTCATCTTCATCTATGAAATATTTAAAAGTTATTTGCAAAGCAGCCACATTTAACACAAGAGTTTCAACAAAATGATGCCATATATACTAATACCAAGAATGCATCTTTGAAGCCAAAGGAAGCATTGCATTGCAGTTAATTACAAGTGGTGAAATAAAGTGGGGAAGGTAAATTGTGGAAACTTCTAGATAGGAGGCAAAGAATTTATATCTATTAGTATATGTCTTTGTGAAATAAAATTATGGAACAGATAAAGTGATCTTCCTTTTATTAAACAGGATGACACGTCAACACTCAAGTTTGAAATAAAAGCGACAGCTTTTCTAGAGCCAAATCCAAAAGTTATTGAATTAAACAAGCATGAAAATGTTGCACAGGTAAGATTTATTACCTTTTTAACTGGTACAGTAAGATTGCAGGGAAAGAGCATTACAGGGGTGTTTATAATCACCTCCTGCTGGGTACCCGAGTCACAAAAGTAGATTGTGCCCAGATCATGAAGGGCCTTAAATACTTCACTGATTGGCACTTTCCACAACTGGCAGGAGGACACAGTAAGCTCTTCAGGGAGGTGAATTTGGTAGAAGTGAGAATAGGATGGATTGGAGGAACCACCATGGGAAAAAGCCCATTGTGTCACTGTTTCTCCTAAATAGCTACCAGTGTTTTCCATGGTTTTCTTAGAACGAGCAAAAGAATAGTGTGGGTTGTTCTGAGTATTACTGGGGATTGTGGAGAGGCTTCAAAGGAAACATAATCAAGCTTCTAAACTGGTGTTTTATTTTTATTTTTATTATTTTGTTTAATTCATATAGGTTCTACTAGAAGGACTACATCATCAAAGACCCAAACGTTATTTCACTATAGTGATTATTTCAAGTAGCTTGCTACTTGGACTTATTTTACTTTTATTGATTTCGTATGTTATGTGGAAGGTAAGTCTTTACTAATTGCTGACATTAAAGCACTTAAAATGACATTCTTTATTTTCTCAAAGTCATTTTGTAGCTCCAAGTTATTCTATTTAAATATGTTAGTATTTTTAATGTTAACTTTTTAAATTCCAAAGTGAATATATAGTACTGATCTTCTATTTGTCCTAACTTCAATGCCAAAGTCTTTCTAGAAAAATATGCCTTCTTATTAGAAGATAATTTATTTTCAGCAAATTCCCAAACCATAACACTATTTTTGAAAGATGTCCCTTTAAAAACGCATTTTGAAAACATTGCACATTATATTGAATGTCAATTTTGAGTGGAAAGATATGGGAGGCGAGAGAGATGGAGGATGGGTATATCACTGGAAAGCCTGGCAGTAACAGCAGCAACAAAATGATTCTTTAACCCAATATTTCCCTAATTTTTACTGATTACAACTGTTAATAGCCTTCATATTTAGTTTTACATGGGACACAGTTTAAGAAATGTTGGTGTTGACCATTTAGATATTTGATATGGGTGTAATATGTTTATAACTATACACTACTAACTATGCAATGCTGTTTTCAGGCTGGCTTCTTTAAAAGACAATACAGAGCTATCCTCCAAGAAGAAAACCGAAGAGACAGTTGGAGTTATGTGAACAGTAAAAGCAATAATGATGATTAAAGACTCCTTTCAAATTGACAGAACTGGTAACAGACTCAGGTTATACTAAAGAAATTTAAGACACTGTTTACAAGAAAACATGAATTTTGCTCGGACATCTTCAGTGTACTTCCAGGACATACTATACCTTAATGCAAGTGAAAAACCCAAGCCATGATTGCTCTTTGAGAAAAGATAACTGTAAAGGTAGTATTTAACTTATCCGAAGATAGTCTTCTGGATCTTAAATTAATAGAAAAACACTAAACCGTTCAATTTATTCTCAATAAATAATCCCTAGAAGATATCTTGAAATGCAAGGATATCTGAATTGGATTTCTTCACAGCCACACCAAAGTAGTCTGCACACTCTTATTTCGATGCCAGGACCCCTAAGAGATGATGCTGGGCATTGAAGGTGGAGAGGGATTTGTGGCAAAAGTCCTGCGCTTGCCCTGGTCTTGCTTGGCCGCTGAAGTGCGACAGAATTTTTTCTGACTGCAGAATTCAAAATGTGGCTCAAGGTATTCATTTCATCTACACCAGAGAAGGCAAACTGCATGGCAAGGCTTTTGTTGAACTTGAATCAGAAGATGAAGTTGAATTGGACTTGAAGAAAGACGGAGAAGCTATGCCACACAGATGTGTTGAAGTATTCAAGTCAAGCAGCAATTAAATGGATTGAGTGTTGAAGCATACTGGTCCGAACAGTGCTGATATGACCAGTGGTGGCTTTGTGCAGCTTAGAGGCCTCCTCTTTGGATGTAGCAAGGAAGAAATTGTTCAGTTCTTCTCAGGCTTAAAAATTGTGCCAAATGGTGGACGAGTGACGTCACTGGAATTGGTGTCACCCAGTGCAGTAACTCATGGCCCAGGGTAGGTAGGGCTGGCAGAGAACCCCACCCAGTGTGTGGAGCAGCCTGACCCCACCCTGCACCCCACACAGGGCCTCTCCTCCTGCAGTTCCCCACAGCTCCTCCCCACTCCAGTTGGCCAAGGTGGAGACCCTCCTCTCCATCCAATGACAGGTGCTGCAGCTTGGCTGCCTGCACCCTGACTGGTGGGTGATGGGGGGAGTGACAAGTTACTGCACTGAGTGACACCAACTCTAGTGACTGGCAGGTGCGGGTGGGGGGAGTGTGACAAGTTACCACACTGAGTGATGAGTGACACCAACCCTAGTGATGCTACTGCCTTGGTGGCCTCTCCCCCAGTAGCACTGGCCTGCTCGTCATCACCACTGCTACCGCCGACCCTGGGATCATTATCGTCTCACCCTTCTGACAGTGTGAGGGGGTGCCGTCCAAATCTCCCATGGCCCCCTAGTAACTCCACTGTGGGGAGAGAAGTATGGGGGAGGCCTTCATGCAGATCACTTCACAAGAAATAGCTGAAAAGGCTCTAAAGAAACATAATGGAAGAATAGGGAATAGATATATCTGAATCTTTAAGAGCCGTCGAGCTGAAGTCAGAAGTCACTATGATCCACCTCAAAAACTTATGGCCATGCAGTGGCCAGGTTCCTATGAGAGACCTGGGGCTGACAGAGGGTATGACAGTATTGACAGGGAAGCTGGCTTTGAAAAAATGAGGCATGGTGCTTATGGTGGAGGCTATGGTGACTATAATAAAATAATGGTGGCTAGGGATTTGGGTCAGATAGATTTGGAAGAGACCTCAATTATTGTTTTTCAGGAATGTCTGATCACAGATACAGGGATGGCGGTTCTACTTGCCAGAGCATAATAGGACAGTGTGTACAAATGCAGGGATTACCTTACAGAGCTACCGAGAATGACAATTTTTTTTACCACTCACCCTGTGAGAATACATATTGAAACTGGTCCTGTTGGCAGAGTATGTGGTGAAGCAGATGTTGAATTTGCTACTCATGAAGATGCTATGGCAACTATGTCAAAAAACAGAAAATACGCAACACAGATATGTAGAACTCTTCTTGAATTCTACAGCAGGAGCAAGCGGTAGTGCTTATGGCAGCCAAATGATAGGAGCTACGGACTTGTCAAACCAGTCCAGTTATGGTGGCCCTGCTAGTCAGCAGCTAAGTGGTAGTTATGAGGGCAGCTATGGCGGTCAGAGCAGCATTAGTGCATAGGACCAAGTTTTACAGGAAAACTGCAGTGATTTTCGATCAAACATTGCATAGGTAGCCAAGGAGCAATGAACAACAGCTACAACAGTAGTGGAAACTGTGCATCTATGAGAGTGAAGAGAATGGGAGGGATGGGTGGTGGATGGGGAATGTAATCCTCATCACTGACTCTTAGTCAACATTTTTTTTTTTAAGAAAAAGAAAAATAAACTTAAGTTTAACAGTTTTGCAATATAAGCTTGTGATTTGTTCTTACTCTAAGTGGAAATCAGGATTATTTTAAAAACATTTCAGGTTCAGTGTTTTTGAACACAAAACATTCATCTAGGTGTAACAGCAAAGTTTGAGTAACCTGTCACTGTTCAACAATTTTCAGCATTTCTCAAGTTAGTTGTAGGATGTACTTAAGCAGTAAGTGTATTTAGGTTAAAGCAGTTCAATTATGTTAAGTGTTGTTCTTATACCATATTATATTGAACACTGAATGCAGGTTGAAAGACATGCTTTTTTGTAAAACTCAAATACAGGATCTGTGTCTACTTTAAAAGTGAACTATTTGGCATGTTTGCTAATTCTAATTTCATTTAATAACCTGTAAGGCACATAAGTTTAAGCTTTTTTTTAAGTTAATGGGGGGAATGAGACTTAATACCAAAATTTTAGGATTTCGGGCTTGGTGTTTGTGTGAAATTCTGAGGCCTTGATTGAAATCTTTCGCTGTATTGTGATTTTTGTTTTAGGTATATTACGCTAAGTGAAACCTGTCAAATAAAGCTTTTAAAGACTGCCAAAAAAAAAAAAAAAAAAAAAAAGTGTATCTGAATTGAATAATGAGAAAGTAAACAATTTGATTAGAGAAATCTTGAACTTGAAATATCTTTCTTTTCAAAGAAATATTAGTTACCATAGATGCTTGTCTTGGTAAAATAAACTCCACTGAATGGGCAGTGGTTGCTTTCAAATGCATCTTTGAGACTTGTTTGAAATATGTTCTTTAAAAATACTTCACAGAATATTTCAAAGGGCTGTTGACAAATTTTCTAATGAATAAAGGACTATTATTAATTTAAAGCAGAATTTATCTTTAAAGATGTTTATATCTAATACATTTCCTATGAGATTTTATTCAACAACCATTTATTCACCAGTCTACAAATATTATGGACCTCATGAGCAAACTTCAGACTGAACCTGTACACTGTTTGAGCTTAATGGGATGGCTTCTGGATAAGCATTGTAAATACAGCTATGGATTTCTTCTCCTTCTGTGTATGTACATATGTTTTTAAAAGAATATATATGTTTATGAAGGTAAAAATCCATTAGTCCTCCTACAACACAACTTTATCAAGGGGTGTTATTGTTGTTAGGTGCCATCGAGTCATTTTTGACTCACAGCAACCCCATGTGACAGACTAGAACTGCCCCACAGGGTTTTTCTTGGCCGTAATCTTTACAGAAGCAGGTTGCCAGCTCTTTTTCCCAGGTACCCAGGAGTAAATTTAAATTTAAAAAAATCTTGGTTACATTTTCTATTTGTTTATAAAAAACAACAGTACTTAAGTATTCTCATTTATACTCTGCAACAGCACATTGTGAATGTTGCACTTTAGCTAATATTTGGGATAGAAATACACTGATGTATGTAATGAAACATGAAAACTGTACCTCAGTAATAATTTTTAAAAAAATCAAAAAGCTGTACAAAGACAATGATTAGGAACCAATATTTCATACAAATTGTGTACTGTATAAAATCTTGACTATCCTCAAAAATTAAGAAAATCACAAATATTTGTTTGGATGTTACTCTTTTCAAATATAACAATTAAATACATATTCGTCAGGTCTATAAAATTTTCTCTTTTGCCTGGATACAGGAAAATAAAATTCATAAATTTAACTGTAAACTAAAAAATGATTTAGCTTGTATACAGTGAACATAATGTGACATCAAAATTTTCATGAAATATGTTTAAGTGGTAAGTGAAATATTTGTTTAAATTTTTTGCTGTTAATACTGTTATATAAGATTCTATTTTATAATGAACTTGTTTCTTTCTGGAGTTTAAATAATTTACCTTTAAGTACCTTTTTATTTGCAAATACAATCATTTTTGTAATATTTATTTCATACATATGAACTTCATGCTGTTAATGGTAGAATATAATTTCATCTGGATTGTCCTCTATCTGTTTTTCTATATGTAATAAAGTTGTGGACACATTTTAAAAATCTGTTATTGAAAGTGAAAGAAATCAAATGGATAAATTAGAGGGCAACTGTTACTGTTATGGAAAAGATTTCTGTAAGTGAAGATCATGCCACCAGCTGTCCCTCTTCTACAGACTTCCTAATTCACTTGCGTTATCTGCTCACAAGCCTTTGGTCTGTGATTGGTGGCTGGAGAATGAGGAATGCACAGAGATCTGTGGAGGCATTTGAGCAGTGAAACACAATGACAATGAACATGAATCTCTTGAACTCACACTGTGCACCCATAGAAATAAACTTAATTAAATTTATATAATATTTTTAAAGAACATCTTTTTTAAGCAAAAACTATATTTTTTTGCTTCTATCATTATAAAAAGGAGCCCTCATGGTGCAGGGGTTAAAGCACATGGCTGCTAACCAAAAGGTCGAAAGCAGTCTGCTTCCGTAAAGATTTCAGCCCTGGAAACCCTATGGGACGGTTCTACTCTGTCTTCTAGGGTCGCTATGAGTCAGAATCAACTCAACGGCAATGGAATCATTATAAAAAGCCAATTAGTTCTTTCAGGAGGCTGTCTGGAAACACTGATGAAAAATCAAGCCCAAATTTAGAATTGCCTTCCCAGGAATGAGCCCTGAGGAATTTAAATTTGGTTCTTTCCTATTCAGAAAAGACAATGTTTCAGGTATTGTTGAGTACACTGAAAACGTGCTATGATTGCCCTACACAGGCTTCTCAGGTGCAGAAGGAACACAGCTACTTATTAGCCCAGATTCTGCCTCATTAGAAAGATATTTCTTGTATAGTTTGAAGTAAAATTTGTTATAGACTTTAAGAATAAAAAAAAAATTTAAGAAAATCAAGTGAGTTTTTTATTTTCAGAAAATATTTTAAAAATTGATACCAGAGTCACTAAAAAAAGATAGATTATTCTTTTTTTGGCAAACAATCTAGGTATTAGAGATATTTGGAAAATGTTCTATTTCTGGTTATATCACTAACTAGCTGTGTGACCTTGAAAGTTAGCCTCTCTGGATTAGTGACTAAATCAGTAAAATCAGGGCATTCTTACATAATCTCTGTAGTTTCTTCTTACTGGCCTACAAGAAATTTAACAACAGAACTGATGGACTCAATCCTGAAAAAATGAAAGTATCTAAATTGTTTCACTTTGGAATTATCTAGGTTAAATATGGACATATCGTAATGACTCTTTTCTTCTTAGGTTATGCTAATTTTATTTTGTTTTAGGTAAAACTTCGCAGTGCAAATTAGTTTCTCATTCAAAAATTTTTACACGGGATGGCACTATAGGCAGAAGCACCATGCCTTCCCTCCACAGCAAAGATCTGAAAAACTAAGCCAAACAGAAAACAGCAATTGTGAAACCCTAAGCATCAAATGAAGAGATAAAGAACTCAGCCACGCACCAAATGGAATAAGAAACTGACAGAGAACAGAGAGCGAGGAGAGATACACGCAGAGGTACCCTATCAGCTAATGCAGCATGGATCCACCATCTTGGACTCCTATCAGAGACCAGCGAACAAGGGGGTACAAGAAAGCAGCTTCACAGAGCGTCCAGCAGGAGACAGAACAACCGGTAACCACTAATATATGCTTTCCCACCCCCCACCCTTCTTCACCCCCACTTGGCCTCCTCTGCTTCCTGGGGCCAGTCTCTTGGCCAGGAAGCATCGGCTTCACCCTGGTGTCACTTGGATTCCACCTGCCCGCACTGGCCGGCTCCCTAAGTGCCATTTGTTGGCTGCTGGTGTTGCTTTTTCCTGCTCTTTAGATTTCTTCCTTACCTCTCACCACCTCCCCCTCTTTTCTCCCAAATACCTGGCTCTATGCGCCATCTTCGCTTCTTCCTGAAAGGCTGTGAAACGCTGCTCAAATGTGAGACTGCTTCCCAGCCTGTGCGGCCATGCTGGGGGGATCCCGTGGCTTTTTTTTGTTTGTTTTGAATTGTTTGCTTGTTTTCTTTTTCTATTCTCAAATTTGGAGCCCGTTCTAGCGGGGCAGTATTGCACAGCTTGGGACCTACCCCCTCAGTTTGTGCAGACGTGCAGAGGGATCACTGAAGGCATTTCTTTTGTCTTTGTTTTTTTTTTTTTCCCCTGTTTTTTTGTGGGTTTTTCCTGTTCTTTTTTTTAAAACTTGTTTGTTTTGTTTTCTTTTCCCTTTTTGTCTTTCTTCATTTCTCAGTTCCTCATCTCTCTATACTTTCTCTTCCTGGCCTCTGAATACCTGGCACTGAATGACACCTCTACACCTTCTACCAGGCTATCATGGCCTGGGAGCAACTTCCTCAGACCTCATAGCTGCACCAGTGGGATCCCTGGGAGCTTTGCTTTTCTTTTTTCTTTCTAATTTTTATTTATTCATTTTTTTTCTTTTCTTCCTCTTCTCCTTTTTCTTTTTATCCATTTCATAGTCTCTCATCTCTCCACCCCAACGGCAAGCTCCCCTAGCACTCATTTTTGTTTGTATGTTTTTGGCTCCTGTTCCTCTCTCTTCTCTCTCCTCTCTCCCATACCCATCTTAGCTCCACACATCACAATCTCCCCCCTCCATCCTGCCTACCTGCACCATGTGCTGACCATCACACCACCAAGCAGCCCAGGCACGGCCTACCAGAACCTGCCCTGCACTGATTACTGGCCTGCCCTGGTGGCTGTAGTAAGTGCCACAAACAACCCATCTCAGCAGCCGCTGTAAAGCTAGACCTGCCCTGCTGTACCATATCTCAGTGACTGACCCTGCCAATTGGAGAAGGAGGCGAAAAGTATCGTGCCCAAAGACAAGCAAACAACAAAGAACACACAGCCTGCCTGCTCAGACATAGCCAAATAAAACACAAAAAAGGACAAAACAAATATACAATCAGTAAACAAGAAAAATAACTACCAAATGCCCTGAAGACAGCAGACAATATCAAAACATTTACAAAAACAGGACAGAATGGTTCCAGTAGGCATCCAAAATAAAATGCCATATGACTTTCCAGTACAAGAAAAGGCGCCACCAAATGACAGCAATAAACTCACACCTATCAATAATTACACTGAATATAAATGGCCTAAATGCACCCATAAAGAGACAGAGAGTGACAGAGGATCTATCAATATGCTGTCTACAAGAGACACACCTTAGAAACAAAGATGTAAATTTATTAAAAATCAAAGGTTGGAAAAAAATATATCACGCAAACAACTACCAAAAAAAGAGCAGGAGTGGCAATACTAATCTCAGATAAAACAGACTTTAAATCAAAAATCCAGCATAAAAGACAAAAAAGGACACTATATAATGATAAAGGGGACTATCCATCATGAAGACATAACCATACTAAACATCTAGGCCCCCAATGACAGGGCTCTAAAATACATAAACTCTAACAGTACTGAAAAGAGAAATTGACAGTTCCACAATAATAGTAGGAGACTTCAACACACCACTCTCAGTATAAGACAGAACATCTAAAAAGAAACTCAGCAAAGATACAGAAGACCTAAAGGGCACAATCAGCAAACTTGACCTCATGGACATATGTAGAACACTCCACCCTACAGCTGCAAAGTACACATTCTTTTCCAATGTAAATGGAACATTCTCCAGAACAGACCACATCTTAAGCCACAGAGCAATCCTCATCAGGATCCAAAATGCTGAGATAATACAAAGTATCTTCTCTGACCACAATGCCATCAAGGTAAAAATTAACAACAGAAACAGCAAGGAAAAAAAATCAATTACATGGAAACTGAATAACACCCTGCTTAAAAACCACT